CAAAATTGCGTAGGAATTCGAGGTTATGTCTATTCGCCAAAAATGATTGTAATTTACTCCTCGTCATTATATTTGGACCGTTACCAGTCGAAAGAGCATAAAATTCCCTATAAATTCGTAATATTTAAGTTTTTATAAAGGTTCTGCAAGCAAGTGAAACGTGTGTATAAAAAACAGTATTCCAAAAATATGGGCTTCCTTTTTAAATGTACACTTTGGTAAAAATGGCAATTACCAAAATATTATTTACAATGTATAAAGAATCTGAATAAATTTTGACAAACAGGTCTATCAAATTGCAGACAAAATGCATCGCTCGATTAATTAAGCGATTCAATTTCTTGTATACTGTACTTGTTAAACGTTAGAAAGGAAATCCATTTTGTTTCTTGGACGCTAAAAAAAAGAGTTAAAAACTTTTCGAAGACACGGTGCTGTTTTACTTTGTTTCTTTGGTGTTTACCGTCGAGTTTCTTTCAGGCTCAGCTCCGAGAAGTAATTAACTTATCTTAACGAAGTTACTACTTTAACTTTGCAATTTCTTAAAACACTATGACGCGACATTTAATTATAGAAACATATTTTTCAGGAAAAGATTTGTTAATAAAATATGCTAACAAAGAACCTGTTCGTTCATGTAACTAACAACATTTCCTTCGATAATGCCTTCGATAAAAATAAAACACAGACTTTTATGTTCGAATATTATCGAAAATAAAGATTCGTGTATAAAATTAATTGATGGAACAAGTGAAATATTTTGTAATTCCCACAGTTTTGTGCATACTTTTCTTGCACCTAGTTTATATACAATATTACATATTGCATCTTTATACATTTATTCCTATACAGGTATTCTGCTTTCATATTTTAAATCTTATACATTTTCCCCGACCTTGACCTTCAATGACCTTGAATAATTATAGTCACTGGATTCCTAATGAAAGGGACTATCATTGTAGGTGTTTCAAAAAGGGTGATCCCATTAAAGAAAATATGAAGATGACCTTGATTTCTTTAAAAAAATGAAGGTGACCTTGATTTCTTTAAAAAAAAATGACAGAAATAAAAATATTTTTGACATCGTGTGAGCCCCATTGTACCATTTAATTTTGTCCTCAAGTCATTTGACGTATCTTTAAAAACACCAAAGATATTTCAGGTGCAAACGTATATGTATATTGCTCCTTCTTTGATTTAAATGGTTCGAAACTATTTAATAGCAATGAATGATTTATCACGGCTGCAAAAAGTGATTCGAAATATAGAATAAAAGTAAATCGACATATTCAGCTTGTACATCCTCGATCAATAAGTAGAATTAACATAAACATTTACAACAAAACTTACCGAGTCTAAATTATCGAACACGCGTTTAAAAATATCATTTCATCGAACAAACGAATAACAAATAATCAAAATGCGTGTAAATAAGATAATCGCTTTAAAAAGAATCATAGTAATTCTGAGACGCCAGAGAGTAGGCGGAACAGCTCGTATTCGCGGTCACGTGAATCAAATGTTTTCATAGAAATATCTGCCAGCTGGTAGACGAAACAGGGAAGTGAAACATCAGTTTGAAGATGAATCAGACGTCTCAAAAAACCTCTGCAGCATTAACAATTCGCCTAAGCTCGATGCGTAGCAAAATTGGGACGAGGTTCGAGAAGACGGATAATACCTAAAAAAAAGATGCATGTGAGACCAATTTACAATTTTGAAGTGGTTAAAACAAAAACTGGAATTTACTTTGTACAAGCATCGTTGCACATATGACTAAAGTGAATCATAAAAAGGTATATCTTTTCATACCAATCGACTTTCTCCATATAGCCAATCGATGTACAGTCAATCACAGTGAAAATCGTACAGGTTGTATTGTGAAAAAAAATTATTAGTCTACAGACTAAGTTTTTGTAATTATTTACACAAAAAATAGAAAACTGAGTATTATCTTTTTATTAAAGAAACAAAATTATAATTATATGCTGAATAGACCTTACGTTCAAAATCGTACATAAAAGTATTCAATATATTTACATAGTAATAGACAAATGAAATTTGAATAGTTAAATCAGTATTTAGTAGGGTAACCATTATTATCTATAATTTATCTAGGAAGATGTGTCCAACATTTATTAAAATTAGCGATCTTGATTTCACGTGTATCTAATATATACGTGTACACGTGTAATTAACATATTCGTATCTTAATCCGTGTACTTTTCAATACACGGGTACACGGGTATTGAAATACACGGATACACGTGTATTGAAATATATGGGTACACGGATCATAATATCTATACATGTATCCGTTTATTGAGGTTCACGGATACACGTATCGAAATGTACTGTTCCACATGTATTACCCGTACCGCAAGTTTTATTTTATACTTAAATATCAGAATATTTGTATGTGTAAATTGTTTATGAGACTTAATTTACTGGGTAGTAGGTGAAAATAAGAAACATTATGGTTTTGGTTAATAAAGTTCAATTTATTAAATTTTTGTTTTGAGATAAGAAAACTAAGGTGTTAACATTCTCTGGAAGCAAACGGTTTCTTTTTTTTGTTACAATATTTCCAGCGCATGAAAAGCATCGTTCCGACATCGCCGAGGTTGCTGGAATTGTTAAATATTTTTTGGCAACTTCGGAAATTGCTGGATATTTGTTTGCCCTAGCTTTCCACCATTCAAATGGATTTAAATCAAAGCGTAATTGTGGCTCGGTCATATATGTTTCAATTTGAATATAAACATCATTCTTATCGGTGATTTCGTTGTATAAAAAAAAAACCAAAACAAAAATTTTTCTTATCTCAAAACAAAAATTTAATAAATTGAACTTTATTAACCAAAACCATAATGTCTCTTATTTTCACCTACTACCCAGTAAATTAAGTCTCATAAACAATTTACACATCTAAATATTCTGATATTTAATTATAAAATAAAACTTGCGGTACGGGTAATACATGTGGAACAGTACATTTCGACACGTGTATCCGCGAACCTCAATAAACGGATACATGTATAGATATTATGATCCGTGTACCCATATATTTCAATACACGTGTATCCGTGTATTTCAATACCCGTGTACCCGTGTATTGAAAAGTACACGGATTAAGATACGCATATATTAACTACACGTGTATCTTCAATACACGTTCAAAATCAGAAACTCTAATTAAAATCATAGTGTGAAACAGAAATATTCGATAGTTCAATGGTGTATGTGTTATGACTCCAAAGAATAGAGAAACAAATGAAGAGCAAACATTGTGTAGCATTTGTTCAAAGAAACGCGATATTACTATATTTTTTTGCATCGATAAAGAATAATGTTTAATTTTTTATTTTTTGTGTTAACAATTAGTGTTAGTCTGTAAAATAATAATTTTTTCAATCAAATTTCTTATCCTGTTATCGTTTCGAGACTTTTCATAATATGTACTACCATGTCTGATCAAAGGGCTACACGTTCTACTGCAGCAAGCAATTACAAAATGGAAACACAAGTATACATTCCCCATCCCTATTCGAAACCAAAATTATAGCATATACATGCACAAAAATACACAATAATCTGTGTCGCGCTGTAATTCTATCAATTGTTAATTGATCTGCAAAATTATCGAACGTGTGTATTATTCACTGCGTAATAAGTAACCAGGGACAATAATTAACAATTTGCGTTAAAAAAAAGGGTCCAGTGTGATTTGAATTATTCGCTCTCCTAACAATAAACGATATTATTCGTTATTCGTTTCCCTGGCAAAAAGAAGCTAAAAAGCATCTCGAATAAAACAAGAAACAAAGGTTGCGCTTCAAGGTCAAATCGAGGAACGACAAATTTTTATCCTTCCACGTTTCTCTCTCCGGTTGCTCGGAACTAATTCTCATACTTTGTGTCGCAATTAGGCAAATCCCGAAATCTTGTTGGAAACGGGACCACCGGGGATTAACGAGCGGACTTTCACGCCCGTTCGTTGGCTCTTGAGACTCGCGTGGCGGAGCAACCGCTTCGAGGAAGTCGTACGACGTCACAACTATACTCTATTTTCACTTATCTCGCCTCGACTGGCTCCTCTCGTAAGTTCTCTTTCTCTCTGCTCGCGCTGCCTCTCTCTCCCCGTTCGCGGCAAGAAACGTGTATTTCTGGCTCGACGTGTCGACGCGTGCAGGGCAGAGCTCCGAAGACGAATTCAAACCAGAACCCCCCGTTCGCCGCCACAAATCCCGATAAAGCTGATAGAAATCGCTCGAGGATGATCTCTGGGGAACTCGTGCGGGGGGACACAACGATCACTGCGATAAGAGAAACAATGGCCAGCCATGCGAGAAATTGGTCGCTGAGTGAGACGAGATCGAGGAATCTTGTCAGTCGAGAACGCTTACGACGGATGTGCTTCTCGACTCCGTAGGATCCCTGATGGGTTCCAGTGATTCGTAACCGTTTTCGTAAATTGTACCGAATTTTTTCGACGAACGTTTCTACACCATTGTCTTATTGTTTGTTGATTATTAGGTTGGCGTAGCTTCTCAATTATTGAACACCTACTCGAATTTTTTTCTCGAAAGTGGATAGGATTTCGGGGGTACATGTATTAACCAAAAATGATTGTAATTGATCCCCGCAACCAAAAATAATTTTTTTAGAACGATTTGAAATTTTTTAATTTTGTAGAAAAATTTGTCCATCTACTCGAATTTTTTTCCTGGAAGTGCATAGAAATTCGGGGTTACATATATTAACCAAAAATGATTATAATTGAGTGGTCATACACTCTGTATATGTATGGTTCATAACTTGAATTGTTTATACCTTTAATCACCTAGCACAGATCCGTTAAAATCACAGTACAGACTTTGCACATTGATCTTGTCATTTCGTTCATGAATATGTAGCATCATGGAGGCAGATGCTCAAGAGTTATTGAGATATTTGCAATTATAGTTAACGCTATTGTGTGTTTTGTTGAATAAGCCTACCTTTGCTGGTGAGGCTGAAGCTTCTGAGTCTATAACTATCTTCATCCTCGCCCTCCTCCCTCGACGGCATCTGCGACGAGGTGTCAGGAACGTCTAAAAATGCATTACTCTTCCTATGATGACTATGGTGCATGCTCTGCCCTCTTCGGCTTCCCCTTCTTCTGAGGCCAGGGCTGATGTCATTGTCAGTCAATCTGGGCTCGCTGCTGCAGTGGGCAGATTTAACCGTGCCTTCGTGGTGATGGTGGTGGTGATGCGCGGCTGAAATCGAAAATCAAAACACAAATGTATAATTAACTGCTCGACACTGGGTAAACTCGTATCTTTTTATATCCCCGCGTTGGAAATACGATATATATCGAGAGTATTGTTTACAGCCGGATATAACCGTGCATATTGGCCAACGAACGTTTTTTTAATTTTATTGGATCGTTTAATAAGTCTGCGTTTTCAATATTACACTCGCAAGGAGGGTATCTTGTAATATTGATAAATAATTTCCAAACAATTTCCGAGTTTTCAGTTCTGGACTTACAAGGAAGGGAAGTATCGTGTAATAATGATGAATAATTTCAAAACAATTTCTTGAACGGGAGAACTATGTTTTAATAACTACTCCCGATGCATCGACAAGCTACCCCAGTTCTTTATTTCATGCTGAATGCATTCATTCAGAACCTCGTTTAGAATAAACTCGTATACGAATTCGCTGTTCAACGTGTTGGAGTTCGATGGAAGGGAACTAGCCTTTATCAAGCTGCACGATTTTTTTCAGTTCTCGGGTCATGTTCGTCGAACCGTGAATAAATATCGTTTCGAAACCTCAAACTCGATCCGCGACGATCCGCGAGATAAAGCAAGTACCGAGCCCAACCAACCCCCAATGAGAAACAGCGTTATTGGAATCTGGATAACCAGATACCACATATAGGAAAAAAGGAAGACCAAATTCGGATAAATCCTTTCCATTCGATAATTATTTCAATACCTTATTCCATCGATTCGACAAAAACAGAAATTATTTAAGAAATATTTAAAATTACTATTATTCCGTGGAAAGAAATCATTTATTTTTAAAATATATCTTTGAATTTTCCATTTTATATAAAAAAATTCTCGATGTGATAGTATAAATGCAGATGTTAGATTTTAGTAGCGTTTAAAAATAAATAATTAATAATAAGAAGAATAAGGGTTTCTTTGTATAAAGTTTTTACGACCACAGAGAAAAAGGAATACATACATATAACGTATTCAAATGAACTATTATGTATCACAAAATATTTAATTGAATCTAGGGAGGAGTACATATTTTTATCTACATCGGTATGAAAATTAATATTAATTTCGTTTTTGTATGGTATTGCTTCATTGTAAGACGATATTCTAGATTTTCGACCACCGAGCGACGCGTTGAAACGCGCTCGGATGATTCGTAGAGGCACGCTTACATATTGCGTCGACAATGTTTCACGCCCTGGAGGATACTCGAAATCACGCTGGTTTCTATTCTGGCATCATTCGTTTGGGTAGTAGGTCGCTGACAGTCTAATCGGGGCTCCCGGTGCCAGTGCACCTTAGCTGGGACACCGTGCCGCGCGTCGGATCCATTTAATTAAAAAATACGATCCCGAGAAAGGTTTCGAGGACCGAATGAAGCTTATTTAACGATACACGCCGACTCTTTCATCCCCCTTCATCCGTTAAACGAAGATCGACAACAGGACTTAGCGAACGATTAAAAGAAGGAAATAGAAAGAAAACTTTAGCCTTCGCTCAAGTGATAAACAGGAACCTCTTACTTTGATCCGTTCATTTAATTTTGCTTCTGAGCGTTACGTTTCTAACCTTTAAATAAACTTTATATTCTTCTAACAAATAAATAGTATAAATATCTATTGGCACAGTGAGTAACAAGCACACCAGGATTAAAAGAGATAATATATTTAGTATAAACACATAGTAGGAACAATATGTTAGTAATAGTCAACATTAATAAGATCAAAGTACATATTATCATTATAACACACGCGGCGCATACTGTGACCAAACTGAAACGATAAGGGCGCCACCCAGCGGTGGGACTCAATAACACGCGTTTTTTTTTGTTTGCTTCACACGCGCGAATTATAACTGGTCTACAATCCCCCACTTTATAATTCGATCGCGGATGTCAATCCAGTTTTTATTTTTACAAGCATGGTGTGTCACTGCACTGTCAATCAGCCATGCGTCCTCTAATGCAACATGACTGACGTTTATAGATAGAATAAATGATTCTTTTTGTTGAGAACGTAAGTACCTGTTGCCTTGTTGTTGTTTGCCTTTCTTACTACAATATATATTCGCTCTATTCTTTGCCTAATATAATTTTAGATGTCTTCTGTGAATTATTGAGGTTGATGATAAAAAGGATTAAATAAAATAAAAGATTAATAATTTTATTATTCCATGTGCAATATTTAATTTTCATATTTCCGCCAGTTCTGACAAAAATTCTATTTGAATTCTAAACACTTTATATTTTGACAACTTCGTCTATGTTTTTGTAACAAGCTTTCACTTTATTGTTCTAAGAATACTATTCGCCAATTTTACGTGACGATTGTCAGGGAAAGTTTGGCGTGAGATCTACCAGTTCACAGTTTTCTGAATGCCGCGAACGTATAATTTAATAAAACGAATGACCACATTCGATCATGCTGTCCCGTGTGTACCCATACCTACTACTCTAAATCCTTATCTTTTCTAACGTAATCTATGAAGTCGTTTTATCACGCCTGAAAGCATCTACTGCGGAGGAAAAGTTAATGCATATTGATTATACGTTCGTTTTTTAGTGGAACAAAACATAGTTGAGCACTTTATATTTGAACAGCAATTGATGAATAATATGTGACGTCGACTCCCATGCTCGCCACCAGAGGGCTCGCCCTCTCGCAAGCGCTCGACCGACCCCTCAATTACTGTATGTATGCACTCCTCGAATGACTTCCAAATACAGTAATCCCCCCTATAACACGATAGATTGGTTCCGCGTTATAGGAAAACACGTTGTACGAGACGCTCGTATGACCCCGACATAATAAAAAATTGTCGCCAAGTACCACGATTGTAATAAAACTTTTACTTGTTTTCTGGGTACGTTATTGATTTTTGTTACAATTTATAAAAATATGAAAAATATGTTGTTCCGCAATTCAAATTGCAAGTTGATAATTTTCAACCAGTGACGCAAGACCTTTCGAAGTTCGCGTTCCGTGCCGGTAAATCGAGCTACTGTCTGTGACGTGGCTGTATCGACGATTTACCCTTCAACGAAGTTAATTTAAAAATGGTCGGTTACATAGAGTCGGAAAGCATTGAACCGCGAGGAGCAGTCTTATCTGGGTGCTCTTTCACGTGCCATCGATACGAGAAATCGCCCACGCTACAGAGACTGATCATACGAAAATACTAATGCGTCCAAAGACCTCGCATTAAGAACTTAACGCGTCGAATGGCGGAATATTTCCATATTCCGGACACATGAAATGGAAACCTGTTGGAAATTTTCATATTTGCCGCGGTATTAAATTTCATACTCTTTGGAATACTGTATCTCTTTTCAATATGTATATAACTAATTTTTTAAATTTCCAGCGGAACTTTTCATATTTTCAAATAGTCGAAAAACACTTAAAAAAACGTTGTTTTCAGTAGACGAGGATATTCGAACTATAGTAAACATTTGTAAATGTAAACAATAAGCATTTATGGCCTGGTTGTGATAAAACATATTATTCGTTTAAACTACGTTAATGACAATATAAACTATGATGAAACATTAAAAAATCAATAATAATTAGATTACAGTGTTTTGAAGTTGAATAGACCTCTAGTATTCATAGCATTCGTATCTGTAAAAATTTCAATAAAAGCGAGATTCACCAGTTTCATACGTTTGGTTTTTCAAGCTTTGACACGATATCTATTTGTTTCAAATTTCTATGAATTCTTGATATTAGTTCAAAATTTCATAAATCCTCTTTATTGACTTTTGTTTGTCTTCTATTAAATTACAAATTACACAGGGTGTTCGGCCACGCCAGGGAAAAATTTTAATGGAAGATTCTGGAGACCAAAATAAGACGAAAATCAAAAATATAAATTTCTCGACTGGGGCTTCGTTAAAAAGTTATTAAAAAATTACATTGAAAAATTTCAAATCATTCTGAAAAAATTATTTTCGGTTGCGGGGGTCAATTACAATCATTTTTGGTGAACAGATAAACTCTCGAAATCCTACGCACTTTCGAGAAAAAAATTCGAGTAGATAGGCAAAGTCGAAAAAATTAAAAAATTTCAAACCGTTCTGGAAAAATTGTTTTCGATTACAGGGATCAATTACAATCATTTTTGTCTAATAGACATATCCTCGAAATCCGAACCATTCTCGAGAAAAAAATTCGAGAAGCTGGACAAATTTTTCGACAAAATTAAAAAATTTCAAATCGTTTTAAAAAAATTATTTTCTGTTGCGGGGGTCAATTACAACTATTTTTGGTGAACAGATATACCCTCGAAATCCTACGCACTTTCGAGAAAAAAATTCGAGTAGATAGGCAAAGTCGACAAAATTAAAAAATTTCAAATCGTTCTGGAAAAATTGTTTTCGATTACAGGGATCAATTACAATCATTTTTGTCTAATAGACATATCCTCGAAATCCGAACCATTCTCGAGAAAAAAATTCGAGAAGCTGGACAAATTTTTCGACAAAATTAAAAAATTTCAAATCGTTTTAAAAAAATTATTTTCTGTTGCGGGGGTCAATTACAATCATTTTTTGTGAATAGATATATTCTCGAAATCCTACGCACTTTCGAGAAAAAAATTCGTATAGATAGGCAAAGTCGACAAAAATTAAAAAATTTCAAACCGTTCTGGAAAAATTTTTTTCGATTACAGGGATCAATTACAATCATTTTTGTTCGATAGACATACCCTCGAAATCCTAACCATTTTCGAGAAAAAAATTCTTTACCGGAAAATATACTGTGTGGCCAAAAATGTTCCCCAAAATTTCATGCGTATGTTTAAAAATAACTTCTGGACGGATTGAAGGATTTGAATGATTCAAAATTCAAACAATGCGTATTAATGGAGCTATACAGCTCCATACCATATTAATAATGTAGGGGACGAGTGTTTTCCGTCGTTTCGCATCGATCGTGAAAAACGGCTGAGTGATCTGAATGTGTCGACTCTAATTGAATGATTGAATGTATGAGTGCGTTGGCCATAGTGATGAAACGTTTGGAAATGTTTGGAAATGTTGAGAACATTCGGGAAAGATTACCGGATGTGGAACTGGTAAGGATTGAATTGCGTGAATGTGTCGACCCTGAACGATTGCATGATTGGATGTATGAATGTATGAAGTATGGTAACGAAACGTTGTTGCGAAACGACGGGAATGTTCTGGAAACTTCTCCGGATATGAAACCGGCGGATGTTCGGGACGGGAAAGGGTTAAAAGGACGCGTCGAGAAGGCAACGGGGTCTTTTGACGGTGATTACGATTATAACGATTTAGTGAATATTATTTGTTTGGTGTTTGTTCTGGTGTTAATAAAGTTCCTTGTTCCATGTTTTGTTAATTCACGAGTTCTGACTAAGTGATTAAATTACAATTTTAATCCTACAATAACTTTTTAACGAAGCCTCGACCAGCAAATTAGTATTCTTGACTTTCGTCTTATCGTGTCCCCTAGAATTTCCCATTAAAATTTTTCCCAGGGGAGGCCAAACACCCTGTGCACACTGGTCAATTTCAGAAGATCCACGGCCTCGTGCGACGACCTAATATTTCGACCGCGTTCCGGGCGTATTAGCACACTGTGACGTCGAAGCACGGTGAAGCGAAACCACAGCAAATAGAATATTTCCTCCCCTCGGACAATCATCGCTCCGTACGAGTAAAATATCCCCAACGTTATCGCGTGATTACCTTGGGCAGCTGCCCGGCGTCGAATGCTCTTATTCGCGCCGGAAACACGAGCACTCTGGGACCTGGTAGCGGGTCTACGCCTTCTGGTCGGCGTACTGCTATCCGGTGTACCACTGCCACTGTCCTTTTCTCTGTCCGACTTATCCCTGTCCCTGGCACCCGAGGGAGGCATCGCTTCCAGCATTTGCTCCATGCTGGAGAATCCAGGAGCGCAGATCGACGCCGATCTGGTCTTCCTGCGAAGCGGATTCTCGGCCATCTTTACCCCGTCGTCGCAAACTTTACCAAACGAGGTCCGCGACACACTCTGCTAAACGACTCCCAGAAACGATTTGCAGAAGCGTCCGCGCATATAGGATCCCGATAACGGTACACGGGTGTCTCGTATTCACTGCACTGTATCGACGTTTCGGAATCAATTTCCTCCCCGAGAGTGTCTCTTATCGAACTTTCAATGTTTTAGCAGCCTCGAAGTGTGTTTTCACCGCGCGACCGTAGAAAAGAGTCGTACGCACTTTCACACGATACGCGAATTTTCGGTAATCCTTCCGGAGCTTTTGTGTATTCTCTCTCGAACGGACAACGACTCACTACGCCGGAAGACGTACCGCGAGCGTCTGGCACTTGACACAAATTCTGTTGTTTTTTCTTCGGTTAAAAGTTCCGTGAAACTCGGACACGGTTTTGTCTCGTCGGTCGGGTTCGCGGAAATGCGCCGGTGTCCCTCAGGCTCGCCTCGACGAAACGTGAATTCTGAAGCAACATGTGGTATCGCAGTCGTTAGCCGCGGAGGACCGAGAACGCTCTATTTAGCCGTTGGCAGACCGTTTAAATAATTCTCGCGGCCGCAGAATAACTCGGCGTAATTTTAACCTGCGATCTCGACCTGTCTGAATCTCGTTGAGAATGTTTACTTGATACGATCGTGTTAAAATTAAATAGGACGTGTAATGGAAATAAGTATTAATCGAATTTAACCAAAGTGATGTAACTATTATGCACGGAAGTTTGATACGTTGTTTCCGTACACGATTCAGCAGTGTGTTCTACAAGTAAAAATAAGACTAAAATGTTATGTAACAAAAAATCCATAAATGTTTTGCCACCCCAGGGAGAAATTGTAATGGGAGATTCTGGAGGCCAAAATAGGACGAAAATCAAGAATACCAATTTGTTGATGGTGGCTTCGTTAAAAAGTTATTAACATTTACAGTACCGCAAGTACTGAATTTTTTTCTCAAAAATGCGCAGGATTTCGTAGGTATGTGTAATCACCAAAAATGATTGTAATTGACCCCCACAACCGAAAATAATTTTTCCAAAACGATTTGAAATTTTTTTTTCGTCAAAAGGCACCTAATTAGATTTTCAGTAAAGAATTTTTTTCTTGTCAGTGCATAGGGTTTCGGGGATATGTGTAATGACTAAAAATGATTATAATTGACCCCCGCAACCGAAAATAATTTTTTTAGAACGATTTGAGAAATCTTTTTTCACCGAAAAATTTCAGCAACTACCGGATTTTTTTCTCGAAAGTGGATAGGATTTCGGAGGTATGTCCATTGACCAAAAATGATTGTAATTGACCCCTGCAATTGAAAATCATTTTTTCAGAGTGATTTGAAATTTTTCAATTTCATCGAAAAATGTAAGCAACTAAGGAATTTTTTTCTCAAAAATGGTTAGGATTTCGAGGGTATGTCTGTTGACCAAAAATGATTGTAATTGGCTTCTGTAACTGAAAATATTTTTTCCAGAACGATTTAAAATTGTTTAATAACTTTTTAACGAAACCTCAGTCAAGAAATTGATATTCTTGATTTTTGTCTTATTTCGACCTCTAGAATCTCCCATTAAAATTTTTCCCAGGGGTGGCCGAACACCCTGCATGAACATATCAGTATCATTCTAGAGAAGAATAATATGGAGCGATGAAAACGAGTTTAAATTGCAGCAATTAAAAAAGAAGCATCATGTATGGAAAAAAAAGACTAAACATACAAAATACTGTTTCGTATTATTACGTCAACTGTTAAATTTAGTGAAGGGTCATTAACGTTGTGGGGTGTTTTTCGTGGAATGGAGTTAGCAATTTAGTACAGATTGATGTAATAATAAATGCAAACTATATTTAAATAATAAACGAAAATTTAGAAGAATTGCGAAAATAGGCCTCTAAGAAGAATTTATTTTGCAATAGGACAACGTCCGTAGGCACACTGCTAAAAGAAAAACAAAGAAACTTTTGAGGATTCGAATATTAAATTATTGGAACGACCAGCACAAAGTCCAGGTTTTAATCTAATCGAAAACTTACGAAGCGTACTGAATTCGAAAATCTGGTAAACAGAAATTTTTCAGCAAAGGGCGGCCACACTAAATATTGATTTTACATCTTTATATTATTGTCCGTCCACTTATTTTTGTCCCTCAGCAATTAACCAACATTTTCGTCAAGTATACTTTATTTCAACGCAAACGTAAATATTAATTTCAATTACACATTAAATAATCTATGTACCATGAAGGTATACAATGCAATAAAACTCAAGTGCATAATAGTTACACTATGGTTAAATTTAATTTATAGTTTCTTTACCTGTCTACTTAATTCTGCCAGCAGCTGTATTCAACATTTTCTTTGCAGATTTTATGAGATAAATTTTGCAACCCGGACGGAACTTCTGAAATAAAATTCTTCTACCGAGGGAACTCACGAGAATCATTGTACGGAGCGTGGCTAAAATTCACGGGCAAATTTTGGAGGAAATACGTTACGTCTAAATAGAGAAGCACAGTTTCCGGTACGAACACAATGTGCAAACGCAACAGAAACTCGGGCAAACGGGAAAAAAGAGACTCGAAACCGTAATTATTTTGTCCAGTTCCGGGGCCACGAAGTTACTTTGTTTGTTCGAACGATTAATTCGTTCGCGCAAAAAACAACGATCGAGTTCGTTTCTATTGTTCGACGGTTCTATAAATTGTGGCGGGCTGTTAAGAGCACTTTGGTTTCGAAAACTCAAAGCAAAGTTTATTATCCGCGGATCGGTTTACCGGCAACGAGGTGAAAACGTCTTCCACGGTCCTCGCGGAACGCTTGTGCCATGCAGATGAGCAGCCTATCAAAGTCGTCAAACTTCGAGGAAACACGACGTGAATGCACGTGGAATATACACGTAACGCGATAGAACGTGTCGAAAGGAAATCCATCTTACTCGAGCCGCTTACGAGGATAAAACTACGCGATATTACGCGGGATATTTTGCTATCCAATAACGCGTTACAGGCTCGACTCAATTTGTACGAGTACTCGAGAAACGTGAAAAGGAGACGACCATAAACATCACAAAACACTGAAAATTCGATATTAAATTTTATTCGATAACCAATTTTGCACAAATATAGTTATACTTGAATAAACACAGAAGCGTTGCTTCCTAAATTTCACGTGGAATTAAAGCATCTGTTAACTTTGTAGCCACTTTGAGATAGTTTAATAATTTCGATGGTCTGTAAAGGCTTCATTCGCGAAAGGATGTGTATTAATCTGTTCACGGTGAAAATTACGCGTTTACTGCGCTTGAAACGCGACGATGAGTGGAAGAGACCTGTACGCATTCCGTTGTGTTTACGAGCCCGGCGCTGATAACAATTTTACGAATTGCGAACTCGCCGCCTCGCTCGCCAAGTGTGTTCCCTGTTTCTAAGACGCGTCATAAATTGTAACCTACGAATGTAGAAACCTCGTTTCGAAGTTTCCATTGAATTTCCGTCCGAAATTGCGTTTTCCACAATTTGAAAGTTACTCGAGGCTGTCGATCGCCGAGCACGTTCCAAGTTCGCCAAGTTTACGATCTACTCTGCCTATTTTACGCTGGTCGTTCAAATTTATTTAATTTTTCGATTTTCAAACCTCGACGTCGCTGTTCGCGGTATTTTATTGCGAGATAAATAGGGATTCGACGACTTCCTTTTCGAAAAAGAACAAAATTGTCCCTATCCGTCTCTATCAGACGCCCCCCGCGATCTCATCAACCTTATCAAGCGATAAACTCCCCGTAATACATTCCCCGATATATCAATGTCTTTCAACCTTATTACAGATCATATTGACGCGTGACTCTGAACAGGTGCATGATTGAAACCAGTTTCCTATTTCGACGCGCATCGCGTCTACGGAATATGCGATCGAACCGCCTCAAAGGTGGTAACAAAATTCGCGTTAAATAGACTCGCGTATTTCTAATAATGGACTCTGATGCAGATCTGGTGATTCTCATCGTCGTTAGAGAAATACGGAAATATGTTCCCGAAACTTCGCTAATCTCGCGATCTTCAAAAATCCACATCGACTGGAAAAATAAATACGCGGGTGAATCGAAGAAGGCAACATCCTGACGAATGAAAACATCGCGATCACCTTTGTTCATTTAACGCGGAATATAGTTTTATTATACAATATCGTATCGATAATCCTACTTTTCCTTGAAATCCGATACCTATCTTAGAGTGGAGAGAGAGGAAGCAACATCAAAACGTCCAAAGTCTCAGCAAACCGTAATAATATTCGTGGTGCAGCTATGTTCATAGCCCTTTTGGGAAATCTGGGAATCCCACCCACTCGACCATCGCCTCGAACAAAAGAGGGTAGCAAGAAACGTGGTTTTAAAAAAATTGAAAAGATGTCCAGACTATGTGTACGTCCCCCATTGTTTTAGATTCTAAAAATTTCAAAAGAGATCGACGGATGATTACTCTATTTGAGAGTTAGGTTCCAATCCCACAGACTCCATCGGGAACACGAAAAGAAGAGAACGCGGAAACGCGAAAACCCCCGGCACTGCCACGAGCGTAATTTCCTCCGCTTTCTTCCGATCGGAGAACGTTACTCGGGGCGAAAGATCGACGATTTACCACTTCCGGTGGCCGGGGATCCCAGTCTCTTTCGTCACATGTCTCGATCGCGCGCGGCGAGGGATGCTGAACGCACGTAACGGACGCGACGCGACGCACGTTGAACGATACGCGGCACACTGAAGCCTCTGGACAGCGACGTCGGGACGCCAGGCGTCGCGGGTGCTCGACACGCCTCGGCGGGGACGCTCGGCGAACCTCGCGGCGGACGCTGGCCGGCGTCCAATTCCGCGGGTTTTTCGTCGGCGTCGCGGCGTTTCGAAACCGCGGACCAATCTACGGAATCGCGGCCCGACGGAGGTTCGCGGGAAAACGGCTCTCGCCGCGAATTATTTACGAGCGCCGGCGTGAATTGGACGCGGTCTTTAGCCGGTCTGTTGTTTTATGGACTGCTATCCAAGAAGCGTTAGACCGAGACGAATTTGTTTTTGAGGGGCCTTCCGGTCTTGGGGACGAAACCAACCAATTTCTGAGACATTTTTTTTCTGAGGAAACTTTTTAAGAGGGCAGTCGCATGTGTACGTTGCAAAATTTAACCGTCTTTATTAATTTTTTTTTTAATATTCTTGAATATTATGATCCTCTTACTTTTCCATTCATCCAAAAATAATCGCAAAAAAACGCTTTATTTCAGGTTTCTAAAGCTTAAGCGGCCTCTTGGTTTTGGGGACGAAACGAAGCAATTTCTAAGACATTTTTTTCTGAGGAAACTTTTTAAGAGAGCAGTCTCATGTGTACGTTGCAAATTTAACCATCTTTATTAATTTTTATTTGAATATTCTTGAATATTATTATCCTCTTACTTTTCCATCCATTCAAAAATAATCGCAAAAAAACGCTTTATTTCAGGTTTCTACAGTGGTCTTACCCCTTAACACAATTAAATTATTCATTAAATTCTCTTGGTAATTTTTTTTAACTAAATGTTACATCTAACGCTATAATTTATTTTCGCAATTTACTCGACTATCCTTTGGGAATATAAAATGAATTTTTCAATAATTTTTATCGACTTTTCAAGTTTTTATTACGCCCACAGTGAACATGTGTTTAAACACTGGCGTAGGTGATTGCTGCTTTCAAGATTGACTAAATCAAAAAGATTTTTATTTGGTAGGATTCCTGTTATCGCAAAATAATTAATTTATGTTGAAAATTGGCAAAATGGCGAAAGCTTGAATTAAAAATTGCAAAATTTTGTCATTTTTTCCGCAAACTTTTTAATCAAAGTATATGATATACTCATTATAAAGATGTATAAGTTTGGTACGGGCGAGAAACATTAGTGTAGGGTTAAACAAAGAGAATTTATTTGAGGACAATGAATTGAACATAATTACAGGGTGAGTCGCCTAACGTTTGCACCTCAAATATTTTTGTTGTTTTTAAAGATACGTCAAAAGTCTTCAGGACAAAATTGAATGGTACAGTGGAGCTTACACGATGCCAAAAATATTTTTATTTCTATGTCATTTTTTTTTAAAGAAATCAAGATCACCTTCATTTTTTTAAATGGGATCATCCTTTTTGAAACATCTACAATGATAGTCCCTTTCGTTAGGAATTCAGTGACTATAATTATTCAAGGTCATACAAGGTCACAAAGGTTTCAAAATATGAAAGCATAATGTTTTTTATTATTTCGATAAATTCGTCTAACGGGTATACTTCATAGATTTTCCATAGAATTTCATATTTATAACAAATGGTTACACAAATATAATTTCTATTTACTTGGATTTATTACGTTTTATAAAAGTACTCCGCGGGTTAATTGCGAAAATATTAGCAATCTCTCTGCCAACGAAATTCGTAAACTGAAAATGAGTGACAAACTCGATAATAATTGCGTAATTTCAAATTACTTGAACCGAACGAACACGCAAATTGAAATATCATTCGAGGAATATGTTAAATACGTTGAGCGCAAAAAGAGCCGCGGCGATCGGGAAAAATTTTCAGAAGCCAGGGGAACTTTCGTCGAAAGAGGTTCAAAGAGAGACGTGAACAAGCAAAAACGTTGCTTACGCGGTTTCACCGGAAAACTATTACGAGAATTTAGCTCTCACATTTTATATGATTTCTCCGAACCCGAAGGTGACCCTTTCCTTGCAATTAATCACGTCGACGCGGGCAGTCTAAACTTTCTAAGAAGACGCGGGAACGATGTATTCTCGGTTAGAATCCCTCACGAATTAATTCCTTATAACGAAGACGAAAATAAAAAAACCTTTTTCACGTTATCAAATTACGTTAGAACTGTAGGTTGGTAAACGATAGAAACAAACAATAAATGGTAGCAATTAAATGCAACGAAGGAATAACAAGCTGTTTATCTTTTATTCGTTACTCGAGATTTTTATCTGGATATTGTCATAAGTAATTTACTAAGTATTAGTTTTTTTCTCGGATATTGTGTTGCTTCCCAAAAAAACCAAAAATATCTTTTAATGAGTCTGAATCACAGCTGGCGATGAAGAAGAATTAAATTCTATTTGTATTATTTTGTGAAAAATTAAATGTTAAAGGAATAAAATAAATATTGCTCGTTTCTAGACAACTCTTGTGCAGTATGGATAAATTAAGAATTATTTTGTTGAGTAATGAAGAGTATACACTAATATCTCATTTCATTTTGGCAAGATTTCTAAAATTTCCAAGTATTATAATGACATTCACGAACAACTAAAAATGTAACGTAACTCACATTTTCCGTTTAAAAATGATAATTTTTCTTATTTTGCTTTTTATGTAATAATTTGTCTTCTGTAGAATATAGCTCCAATTTTCAACCGATTTAATAATCGTCACGTATATACATGCGTTGTTATCTTGTTTTGAAAAATAAAGTGTTGGAATATTAATGTGTTTCTCGTACTAAATAAAAACGATAGCTAAAAATGAAATTAAGTATAAGGCGAATATATTCTCCGACGAAAAGTGTGACTAAACAATTTTAGGAAACACTAGCTTGATGCGTTTCTTTTTTGATAGTAATTTATTACATTCAAAATATAGATACAATAGCGGATAAAATTAAATAGACAGATAGGGAAAATAGGAATGAATTAAATTTAATCAAAGTAGTATAACACTTAAGTTTTATACAGGGTGTTTGGCCACCCCAAAATCAGATGAAAATCAATAATACCAATTTGTTGATGAAAGCTTTGTTAAAAACTTATTAACGTTTAAAGTTCCGCTCATATTGAATTTTTTTCTCGAAAATGCGCAGGATTTCGGGGGTATGTCTATTCACCAAAAATGATTCTAATTGACCCCCGCAACTGAAAATAATTTTTCCGAACCGATTTGAAATTTTTTTTTCCGTCAAAAGGCACCTAATTAGATTTTCAGTAAAGAATTTTTTTCTCGAAAGTGCATAGAATTTCGGGGGTATGTGTAATGACCAAAAATGATTGTAATTGTCCCTCGCAGTCGAAAATAATTTTTTTAGAGTGATTTGAAATTTTTTAATTTTGTCAAAATGGTTCATCTTTCTGAATTTTTTTCTAGAAAGTGGGTAGGATTTCGGGGGTATGTCTATTCACCAAAAATGATTATAATTGACCCCCGCAACCGAAAATATTTTTTCCAGAACGATTTGAAATTTTTGAATTTAATTGTTAATAACTTTTTAACGAAGCCGAAATTTTTTGAGGATTCCAATATTAAATTATTGGAATGGCCGGCACAAACGCCGGATTTGAATCTAATCGAAAACTTATGAAGCGTACTAAATTCGAAAAATCTGGTAAATGGAACTCCAGGGTGGTCACGCTAAATATTGATTATATTTTTATATATTTTATTATCTGTCCACTTAACATTTTCGTTAAGAATACCTTATTTCAACACAAATGTAAATATTAATTTCAATTATACATTAAATAATCTATGTACCATAAAAGTATATTGTGTATAAAACTCAAGCGAATAATAGTTATATCAATTTGTTTAAATTTAATTTATACTTTCTTCACCTGTCTACTCTAATTCTGTCCGCAGCTGTAAATCGGGAACTCAAATTTTTGATCACGTTTCGAGAAATCCGTCCCGCTGCGCGTCGAGGCCGCAATGGCGTCGTTTTCTAGCTACTCCACCCTCTTCTCCGTACTTTCTTCGGTTCGCCCCTACGTGTCCCGAACCATTAAACGGAACGGCACGAGTATTTTTGACTTGTGGTAGTTTAAGGCTATTTCAGTAACGGAACGTCAACTCCTTCGACCCGTCCCTCCGTTTCTACCTCTGCCCTCTGTCGCTCTTTACCGCTTTGTTTCTTGTTTTCCTTTCCCGTCCGCAGAAAATATTTTTCTTTTGACAGTTAAAAGCGCTTGGACACCGACACCGCGATCGTTCCCCCGCTAACTATCTTCTCCGCAGCTTGTCATTGACCCACGACTAATTCGAGGCCACGAAAATAAATTCACGATATCGCGGAAGGGGGAGAGGGGGGACAAAGAAACGCGTACAACGACGAACATGGTGGTATCCTTTCCGAAATAACATGCGCAATTTTAAAGTCGAGAAACTCGAGGCTCTTTGTTACGTTTGTC